GGGGGGGGGTTGGAAAAGCACCACCAGAAGATGAGATGCCCTGGATGGGAATGGTGCAATTTTCCCGAGGGGGGTCCCGGGGAACGCCTTCCATCAGCTCATGTCAAATTTCGAAACTTTTTCCATTATACGCTCCCTTAAAGTATTCCGGGATATGGACTTCCGCACAAAATTCGAACGCCGGTAGTCACATTATGGCTAAGAAGCAAATTTACCGAGTTTTAAGAAAATCGGGAATTTATACTTAAGTCTCCTTGTTAGTTGTTAGTTGGGGTAGAATCTGCTTACTACAGTACTTGGTATAGTTCGAACGTACAAGTTAATAATCTTAATTAATGACAACTTAAACTGGACTGACCAAATTTCTTCAGTTTTCAAACATGTGAACAGAGGTCTATTTGTCCTAAATCAAACATCCCAATCTGTAGATAGGCGTTACAATCTACTAGTATTTCACGCATTCATACAATCTTTTTTGTCATTTGGGATCTTAATATGGGGTAATGACCATCTTGGTAAAAATAGAATGCAAGAACTTTTAATTAAACAAAAAAGAGCCATTCGAATTTTAAACAAAATAGATTCAAGAGTATCCTGTAGAGACTATTTTAGAAAAGACAAGATTCTTACTATTACTTGTCTTTTCATCTACTACTCTGCGATGTTTGCTAAAAAGAACCTTTCTAAAATAAAGACTGAACCCGATCACTCTTACAACACCAGAAATAAATCTAAAAAAGTACACCATCTATATGATCCTAACTGTATAAAAATTAGGTCTTATTCTATTTTTTGTAAATTACCTAATGATATTACTAATATTTCTAGTCTCGACCTCTTTAAAAAGAAGCTTAAAGCCTTCTTGGTGAATAAAGTATTCTACACCATGGAAGAATTCTGGGAAATGTGATATATTTGTTTTACTTGACATTTTTAATTGTGATCTCATTTTATTTATGATTGTATTGTGCACTCTCAATCTATGACCTCTTTCTTATGTACTCCTTGTTTTGTACTACAGAAATCAAAATAAACTGAAACTGAAACTGAAACTGAAACTAATAATTGCGGACTAAATTATGATGCCATCGGCCGAAATAGTTGAGCCGGGGGGTAGTGCCATCTTGATGGAGAACTCTGACGCGGCCCCGAGTGATTAGGCAAACCGTCCGCCCGCGTGCGGTTACAGTGAATGGCGTTACATGAGTTCGACGGGGTGACCTTGGACGCAAAGAAGTACATGAAAGAAGAAAAGTCTACATGTATGCACTGATTTTTTTTTTTGGGGGGGGGGGGGGGGGGGGGGGGGGGCCGTTGCGAAAACGCAGAACACTAAACTCTAGGGCGGCCGGGGCATTTTTAGCGCAGTCCCTCCCCTCTACCCCCCCCCCCCCATTTTTCCATCTTTCCTCAACTGAGCCTGCGCAAAAAAAACTCCGAGGACTTGACCCAAGGCCGTCTCTAACTTCGCTCCGAAAGCAACCGCACCACCCGGGCCCTTCATTTTGACCTATTTCATGTCTGAGTTTATAGAAAATTGCACTGATTGCTCTGGCATTTTAGCGGAAAATAGGACGCAGTTTCTTACCAGTTCCTCGGACGCATCGAGTTCAGCTCTCACTGCGTCCGACATCGTGTCGGTAGGTCTGTTGACTCGGCTCAACAACTGCAGTTTCCTCTTCTTGCAGGGTGGAGGGGGCGCTTCCCGAGGTAAAAAGAAATGCTGGGAAGTCGTAGGGAAGTCGGCTGGCTATTGAACCAAACAACTACGTACCCAATACTCAAAGTTTAACATAAGCACAAGATTATTTTACATTGTGGGCACCCCGTGCGAGTACGCAACCCGTCCGCACGCCAGAATTCGGTACAGTTTAACTAGAAATAAGTGCGGCCTATAAAGAACACCCACCCTTCACAACCAAACGCGTGAGAACACACAAATACTTGCCTTGCTAAGTAAAAGTGGCGTGCTCCTGGCACCATTACATTACACCGAAACTCACTTGACGTTAAATAGGTCACAAGTGTGAATCCATTGTCACCAAACGGACAAAACTCGTCACACTGAATAAGTTGGGCGACAGCTCTCTACGGCCCGAGTCGCACCCGCTGCTCTACTGCTCGATCATCGATGCAGGGGTCCCCTCGGGTATTCCCCTCACAGCGACAGCCGCGCGCTCTGGCGGCGCGGTCGGCGGCGGGCCAAGAGCCCCGGGCAGGACGCGTCCGCCGATGTTGACTTTTGCAGTGAGGCGACGTGTGATACACAATGTATGCAGAAAAATGCCGGGGAGCAGGCTTTCCGCAGTAAGAACCGTTCACATTCACCCGTCCCTGCCCGTACTCTTTGACGAGCGTAATCTGCTTATTTCTCTCTCTACTAGGCAGTAAGGTGCTGGGCAGACTGCTAGAGCCCGACTGCGCGCCGGCCGGCCCGGCTTGCTCCTATCGCCGTACAGCAGCCAAACAGCAGCTTTATCTGCATCCGCAATCTTGCACTTCTATGGTCCGTCCGCCTCCCTCCCGACCAAACGCACTGTTCTCGGCGCGGGGGGGGG